AAAAAAAAAAAAAAAAAAAAAAAAAAAAAAAAAAAAAAAAAAAAAAAAACAAACTCTGAAAGGCAGCTAGAGAGGAGGAAAAAAGACTTATCAACTTCAAAGGCATAAAAATACAGGTGACAAAAATGGTGGAAGCCAGAAGACAATCAAACACCAGCATTAAAATGCTGTAAGAAATTAAGAGCCAGTCTAAAATTATACAATTATTTTTCTCCCTTCCAAATAAAGCTAAAATAAAGACATTTTCAGATAACCAAAAACCAAAGTACTCCCCAGCAGTACGTCCATAGTGAGAAAATGCCCCAGCTAGAAGCAAGGACATGGATCTAGGAGGAAAGGGGCCACCACCAGAGGTGCAGGTTCAAGTGGCTCTGAGTCGGGGACACTTGGCTGAAGTAATGATCTCGTCTGTGGAATTAAAATACGTGAACACCACCAGCGCATGGGGAAGGCAGGAGTATAGCAATTGAAATATTTATCCTCAAGTCCTTACATGGCCTAGGAAAATAAAAATGCTCTTTATATTGGACTAAAAAGCCAAGGATTCACTTGTTATGGCAATCGTGCACCACAGAGGTTAAAAGAACATAAAGGTAATACAGGGGGGATTTTGTTAAAGTTAAAATAGTTACGTACTATTTTTTAAAGCCATAAAAGAGACATGAATGAACACGACACAGATGAGGAAAATGGTAATATAGAAACGTTTATACATGAATGCATTAGAAATTACATTAAATGCAAATAGATACTGTATTTAAAAGCTGGAAAAATCAAAATTAATTATATGTTGATTATAAGAGATATGCATTACACAAAAGATTAAAAGTAAAAGGGTAGGAATGATATATCACCAAAGCATTTTTAGAGATAAAGTGCAGGGAGGAAAGGACAGTGTTTTAAATACACTAATGATTCCAAATAATGATTCCTGGCTCATAGAGTACAAATATCTATTTCAAGTGGATTATACATCGGAATGCAAAAGGTAAAATAATCAAATTTCTAGAAAATAAAAATAGGATAGTATTATGACTTTGTACTAAGCAAAATATAGAAGTAATATAAACAGAAAATAAAAAGTACTAACCATAAATGAAACAAATGATAAAGCGGATCTCATTAGCATAAGAATGCACATTGATTTTTTTTTTTTTAAGCATCATTGAGAGAATGAGAGGGTAAGACATAATGTGGATGAAAGTGTTTGTAATATTCATAGCCAATGAAGGGGAGATTCCAGAGAATAAGCAGGACTCCTGATAAGAAAAGGCAAAGTCGGATGAGCAGGCACTCCAAAAAAGGGCATGTGAGTGGCCAATAAGTAACTTATGGAAAGATCTTCAACACCATGAATCATCAGGAAAGTGCTTATCGAACCATAGTGGGATGTGCTGAGATTTAAAAGTCTGACAACAGCAAGTGTTGGAACCAATACTGAGAACTTTCATCTGTCACTGGTGGGAGTGCACATGAGTTCAATGTCTTAAGTCTCTTTGGTAGATCTGCTCATCTAGGACACATGTCAACGAAAAACAAACCAGCAACACAATTTGTAGGTATGTTCGCAACCAGATACATACACAAGAAACTCTTGATATTCACAACTGTGATGCTCTATAAAGTCACCACAAACCCTGAATCAGCAAATCCTGCAGCACAGCTTTCAGAGGAAATACAAGATCACATTCCCGTGAACCTCAGGTCACACCTTTGTCCACCAGTCAATACATAACCTGGTTTCATGTGTGGGTGTATTTAACAACAACTTATTTATTATATATTATTGATCCATTAACAGAGAACTAGGAGGCAACATGGCTATAAACTATGCCCAGAAAAGGCTTGGCTAATGCACATTAAAAGATATCTCTTTTCATAAGGCACATCACAACCTTCTTGTGCTTAAGAACACCAGGCAGCACTTCAGCCTTGCACTTTCGGGCCATGTTAAAAAAAAGGAGGGGGTGAAGGGAGGGTGGGGACAAGGGGAAAAATGAGAACCAAGACCTGTCATGTAAAGGTACAAGATCCCAGTAATGAATGTAACTGTACTGTCTACCTAGAATGTACCAATAAATTCAATTTTTAAAAAATGAAATCATGAGCAAAAGCACAAAAATGAGAAAGACATTCCACTGAACAGACACCCAAGGGGCACTGGTTTACAGAAAGAGATCTGAGACAGGAAGTCAGAGCATCGTGCTCTCTCCAACCTCAGTGGGGAACCTACATGTCAGAAGACTCAAGTTTGCTGGCCAGTCTGTACATGTCTGCCACTGATGGTGATAGCTCTGGGAGTAAAGATTTTGAGATTCTTAGTACAGTTTAGGGAGCAGACAAGTCACAAATATAGAAAATGAAGATCAAATACATATACATATGAAATCATGTAATATTATTTGTAAAAAAACTGAAGAGGGGGTGAAATGTTGTCTTAGTTACTTTTTGTTGCTAGGACAAAATATCCAATTAAAGAGAGAAAGATTTATTTTAGCTCACAGTCTGCAGAGGTTTCAGCCCATAGGCAGTTAGCTCGTAGTCAGTGGCATGGCAGAAAAAAGCACTGCAGAGAAGAAACAGTCCGTGGCATGCAGGCAGAAAGAAGAAAGCAACAAGCCTCCATCTTTCTTTTTATTCCATATAAGCTACAAGCCTATTAGTTGGTGCTACCCATTCCCAGGGTGGGCCTTCTCATCACCCACAACCAAAACAATGCTAAACCAATCAGTGGACTAATTCAGTTTTCATGCCTTTAATCCAAAATTACACACCCATGATTCAGCTACTCCCCAAACCCTCACCTATGACTATATGAGGCTTTGGGAGGACATCTAGATATAAGCCATAGTAAGTGTCCATAAACAGAAGGATGGACAGATTTTGTAATATCCATTCCATAGATTTTCAGGCTTTAAAAGTGAAGAGATTATTGCTGTATGCAATAATATGGATGAATTTCATAAACATAAGGTTATGCAAAAATAGACATGCTAGAAGTACATTGATTCTATTTATATTATAGCTTTAAACATGGCAAACCAATCCATGGTTTCAAAAGCCAGATAGCAGTTACCTTTGGGAGAAGGAGTCACAAACGGGAGGGCACCCACAGCTCATGGGG